TTCCTTCCTTCCTTCCTTCCTTCCTTCCTTCCTTCCTTCCTTCCTTCCTTCCTTCCTTCCTTCCTTCCTTCCTTCCTTCCTTCCTTCCTTCCTTCCCATACAACCTTTCTTCATTCTTCCCCTTCCTTCCTTCCCTTCCTCCTGCCCATAAAACCTCCCTCCCTCCCTTCCTTCTCTTTGTTCTCTTACATCCTCTCTCCCTCCTTCCCTTCCTCCCTCCCTCCCACAAAACTTCCTTTTTTCCCTTCTTTTCTTTTTCACACAATCTTCCTCCTTTCCTTCTTTCTTTCCTTCCTTCCTTCTTTCTTTTCTTTCTTTTCCTCCCTCCTTCCGTCTCATCTTTCCTTCCCTTCGCCTTAAAATCCAGACTCCCGAAGAGCTAGAGGATGATTCTGATTTCGAACAGGAAGATTATGATGTTCGGAGCCGGACAAGCGTTCAGACTGAAGATGACCAGCTGATTGCTGGCCAAAGTGCAAGGGTGAGTTTACCATCTAAGTAGTGCATGAATCTCTCTTCCAACTTGTCTGCTTCTGCAAGCTGATTTGGAGAACGTAAAGCTCAGAATGGCTACCGGGCGTGAAGTTGCATTTTGAGTTCTCAAGAACTGAGTTAATATGCTTGACACTCAAGTGGGGTTGGTTGGAGAAGTTTGTGCAAAAGAAGAAGAAAAAAATATGTTGGTAGTTCTTCTTCCATGACCCAAGATGTATGCCAATATTTTTTTTTTCTTAAAAATGTCTTTCAACACCTAATTTGATAAATTTGTCAACACCTAATTTGATAAATTTTTAAAGCTCCCAGGAATTGAAAAATTAAGAAAAAGATCAGGTTTCTAAATCTTATGATTATGTAGAAAACATGGTGTCCCAGTTTTAACATGCTGAATATTATGAAGCTTGCATTCTTTTAATTACTGATATCAAAACCTCCAAGCAGGATAGAAAGCTTTTCTTAAAGAAGATTGAAGCACTTTGCACATAGCTTCTTGTGTTCCTCAAAACCACCACTGCATTGATACCATTGTTTGCTGTGACATCTTAAATTTAAAAAAATACCTAAGTGGAATTTTCATTTGCTAAAATCACAACCACCCAGAAATGGCGTTGTGGGCCATTTCATCATATAGTAATCCATAAAATTAAAACTACCTTTTCTTCTGTTTTAACCAACCAAGATGGCATGCATACTTGCAGGATGGCATGCATTTTCTTTAGGAAGTTCCACCAACCTAACAAACTGAATTTCCACCAGAGTTTTGTTGTTAATATACTTAAACGTTTCCATCATGTCCCTCCATTTCCCTTCTGTCCTCCAGACTGTACATATTCATCTCCTCCAGTCTCTCCTGGTAGGTTTCGTCCCTCAGACCTTGTGCCATTTTTGTTCTCCATCTCTGGAGTCACTCAAGCTTATTGATTCCTTATTTAAAGTGGGGTCTCCAGAACTGGGTGGGGCCCACATTATGCCCCTTCTGCCAGCACAGGTGGGGCAGTCTCCAATTCAAGATGTTGGTTAAAGATGGCCTCTAAAAGCCTGCCTGGCATGGATCAAGCTGGCTGAGGAACCATCTCACCCAAGGGGAACTGGTCTGCCCACCCATGCTAGCAGGAGGGATATGCTGTGGGGTCCATCGGTCAAGGAATTCTGGCTGGCGATGACTCCCACCTTCTGGAACATCGTGTCCCTCAAGGTGAGACCGGAGCCTCCCCCTTCCTGACCTTCCATGAGGGCCTGGAGACCTGGCTCTATCAGGTGGCTCTTAGTTGGCCCAAAAAAATCTGCATTGTTGGTTCAGTGTGGTTGCTTACGAGTCCTAGGAATGTTCTCCCATAAAATAATTCTGCTTCTGTATAACCGGAAGGTATATGTGGCGGTAACACCACTCAAGTTATTTGTTGTTTAACGACTCCGCATTTATTGTGGATCAGAAGTAAATAAAATGGGAATTTATACACTGCATAGCCCACATAGAAAGAAAAAAGAGAAAGCTCTCTTTTGGGGGGACCAATTTCAGTGTTGGAAGAAGCATAAAAACGAAAGTTAGTCTTAAGTTGGAATAATACCACATATCAGGAAGACTCATTGTGCAACAGTGTGCATGCACACACAGCCACACAAATAAATATGCACAATCTTAGGGATGCAAATAACCACTACCGTAGGTTCATAAAACAGCACCATAGTTTTTCTGAGATGCAAAGAAGAGATTCAATTTCTATGCCTTTTTATAGGGGAAGCTGTTGTTGTTGTGTTGTGTTTGCACATTAACATTTCAGACTGTTCAGCTACTTTGATAAGGCCTAATTAAAACTCAGACGCTGAATTCTAATTTGATAAGCTTTC